CACTGTTCTGGGGAGTCTCAACAACTATGGTGAAGAGTTACCATGGTGGTTGTCAGGCGGTGAAAATACCCGGATGTTCGCCCCCAGGATACAACAACTGATAAGGAAGAACAGAAAGAAGAATAGCATTTCACAGACAACACAGCGTTGTTTAATCCAATGTTGCAAACAACGGTATTATTAGTGAGATGTGTATTGTATTGTTTTAAATTTAAACCATATTGCCGGGCATTACAATTTATGTGGAGTAACAATATTTTCATTTTATGTGCCAATATTATTATCAAAATTTACATATTCCTAGGGATGCAAATAATGAATTTCATGTTGTTGTTTTTTTATGTTATCATTCGTTCGGATTGTAAACCAAAGTTGAACACAAAGTGTAGCATTAGTGCGTTCGAATACAAGAGCATCACTTACAGTTGCGCAACCATTTCCAATTGATATTTCCTGTGGTCCACCAGGGTTCGCGATACCGACCCATGACCAGCAGCTATGGGAATAGAATATTAATGTAGCAATAAACACTATTTACTTGTTTTTTTTCATCGATTCATATCAATAGAACTCGAATTAGCAAAGTCATTTTTCGATTCGTTGTCTAGGAATGATCTAGTTCTTTCATATACTAAGAGCATTCACTATAGTAATTATTGTGTGTCCAAATTTGATATTGCACAATACAAAACTCTTAAAAGTAAGTGCGTGATATTTTCTATATAAATATTAGTATATACAAGCTTGTAGGGTCATTACATACTAGGTCAAAGTTCATGTATTAGAGATTACCTATCATGCAACGTGGTTGAATAAACATGGCATCCGTCGAAGTACATAGTACTATTGTTATTCAGATTACTGTATTCACTAGGCATAATAATACAGTATATACTACCAGAGGTACATTACTTTGGGTTTGTAACTACGGTGACATGATACCAAGATCCCGTTACAATCTCGCTCTCGCGTAAGCGTTCCAACTCAGAAAAATGCGAATGCGCATGCCCGAGGTAACTAGGATAATGGGATGTCCAGGTGGATCAAAATGGCTGCTCACGGTATGACGGATTACGATAAATATATTTTCTGTACATTTTCGATGTATTACATTTTTTTCACTATGAATGTGGTAATACATATTTTATTGTTTTATTACAAACCGCCAATGTAGCCTCAGTCTCGCTATCTACGAGATGAGACTTGAATGGGATCTTGGCATGATGTCACCATACAGTACTATGCGCGTTGCAAACCCCAATGTATCTCTAATACTACTAATATATAACATACCCTTCTCCTGGTTTGTTTGTGAATTCGATTCTTGATGTGTGTCCTGCAGCCGCGCTGTAAGGGGGGAATTGAAGGCATGATACACTTTCCCAATAATGTAATGCACTTAAAATCACAGCACGGTCGGGTTCGCCTGAAATATACGGATTAGAAAAATAGAAAATATAGCTGCAAGCAGGAAGACGGGAACAAACAATGGGTCATAGAAAATGTACGTATAGAACATGTACTTTACTCAGAATTATCCTCGGCAAGAATATTGTAGCTGAAGATGGATTTTGATATGTATGGTCATTGTTTCAATGAATATACGAAGTTTTTTTTATATACAACATGCTGTCTATTGAGTGTTAGTTCCACATGAACTGTGTAGTTGATCAAGACATGTTCATGCTTGCTACAGAGAACAGGTTACAAAAAGGGTGTGTAAACAATATTGATTTAACAATTATTATTACTAAGTTGGCCAAATGCCCATGGAAATGTGGAAATGTACAGCTGCTAAGAGTACATCCATAGCTAATATGTACAAAGATGTTGTACTAATCTCAGTATAGTGTCTACAACGTGGTTGTGCCGCTGAAATGATGTCATTTGTGATAGTACATGGAGAGTTTATAGTGTCTTAGAAGATTCGTACAGTCAGTTGGTCGTAGTACCATGGTTACGCACGTCAGTAAAACGGCAGACGCCATGAGAGCAGAGAAAGAAATATTGTTTGCTTTCTGACAAATGTTTGCTTCAATTGATTGTCAGCTTGTTTATCCCCAACTCTGCGACAAGCACATAATAAAATCATGTCATTTGCATATGAATAGAATATGATTTGACCAATCCTCAGACAGATTTTAAATTAGGTCACTGTCTTGGAAGAAGTACTTACATTTTCCCTGGCAATTGTTGTGAAGTATAGGGATATGTGTAATAATAACAGAATGCCATGGCCTCGCCCTGGTGTTTGTGTGATATGGAAGCTATTCACACTTCTCGTGATGTGACAGAAGGGAACGCTTCTTTTGAAATTAACTTCAACACCTCAAAAACATTATGGCGAGGTCATGGTGTTCTGTCAGTTACAAACATGGTCGATAGTTAAAGCGGGGGAGTCATCACCTGCGCATGCGTCAGAAGGCCATAGCATGTCTTTGTTTACAAACACCCATGAGCCTTTGCGTTTTAGGCGTGTGTTGTTATCGTCGCTTGGGACTCAATTCCCGCGCTTGCGCAGGTGACGACCCTCCCGCTTTAACACATGGGAAACAACTAATTACACTGCCGTGTTTAAAGTGCCTGTGAAATGGCTGCTATTTTCACGCCTAAAATTAACAATTGATACATAAATATCATTCATTTTTATGTTTCTAAGCATGAATTATTTTTTTAAGTGAAAAAATGTGTTTTAAACCCAGTCTACGGCAACTTTATTTTTGTGTATTTTAAAACGAGGCTCCTCATTAGCTTCTCATTTGCATACAGAAATTCCCCTTGTGACGTCAGAAGGGGAAGTCGCATGGCAGCTTGCATTGCCGATACGTGTAAATAAGGCAAATTTCTTGTGCAGTTTTGGAATGGACCATAATGAACACATAGTATCAATTTTTGTTGCATGGGGGGGGGGGGAGTTAGATGCGAAATATGTCCGTTCTGGTGTAGCTGGTCACCGTGATCGTCACCGACACCGGCGCACGTTTGTACACTGTTGCTGGACAAAATAGAATTTGACGTCGGAATTATCTCGTTATTTAGCAGGTTACTAGGCATGTCACTACTGTCATGAATTTGTTTACGCGTATCTGTTGACCGACTTAATTAGCTGATTATTAGCGAATTGCTGTGTTATGTCTGTCATCGTTTAGGCCTATTTGAAGTTTTGGACGAAACTTGGCTCAGTGATTTGGAACTAATTACAAGATAATCGTCGCTATTTTGACAGTTTATATTCATAGTTATTAATGTAGTGAACGATTAATCAAAAGATATGACGTATTCAGTACTTAGTGTGATTGGCTTTATGATTGAAGGTTACGCCCTAGAGTCTTTTTACTGTATTGTAATTGGTTAGGGTTTTGAAAATGAATAAAGAGAGTTTTGAGTTGGTCTTGAAGAGCACAGCACGATAGACGCAGTCAGAGTCGTGGTCCAGTCCTGGAGAGCCTTGGGGCGAGTGTTGACGCAGTCTAAGAGAGTCTTGGGGATTTTTCCCCAGGGCGCTGTGTCTGATAGAGTGCTCGATTGACCGACTAAGACGAGAGCTGAAACGTATTTCGTTGTTTGTGTCTTATTTGACTGTAAAGTTAAAGTGACTTTCCCGATCCCATACCTCAAGGGGACGAGATATAGAGACGAGACGAGATTCCCCCTTGACAAGTGTGGAGAACCCCGAGGTGAGAATATTCCCCCTGATACTACACTGTTTTATTTCATCGATCGTCTGAGTAAAACTTTCAAATTAAAATAAAAGAGAACATATTTTGACATTCTAAACATTAGACTATAGTGATCACTATAAAATAATTAAAAAAAACGACAAATCACAGTTACTAAATAAATGACAGCCGCGTGGAAATAAATTGACATTTTGTTGAAATAGGTAAACGCGTTGGGTCACGGCGAGGGCAAGTGCGTTAAAAGCGGCGTTTAATTGGATAACAAAAATAATCGAGTTCGACACACATACAGATAAATTCAGAGTGGATTCGAGTTAGCTTGATCCATGGCGTGATTGTCATAATTATAACATCGTATTAAAACTTTATTTGGTGGAAAGACATTGACCAATCCCGGATTCTTATTTCATAAATTATTACGCAGATCAAGCTGCAAGCATGGAGGTAAAAAAGAAGAGAGGTGTGAATTCGACATTCAACACCAATCACCAAACAATTCGGAAACTTTTAGCCTTCGAAAATGAAAACAGTTAGCAGTGTGTAAGGGCTGTGTAATTTCCTGTTTGTCCGACGCTTCGTTTTCGTGTCACTGTCAAAATTATTGGACTAAATGGTCTCTATAAAACGATCAGGATCTCAAAAAAGTCAACTCATTTGAAACACTTGCCGGACGTCTCTCTCTCTTCTGAAATCCGCCTCGGTGATCATGGGCTGGTCCGGAATCTATTTCTTTCAAAAGTGTTGCGCCAGGTTTACGTTGTCGGCGTTTCTCTTTAAACCTAGTCGTTTTTTTTATCGACAAGGACAGTTGAATGAATCTAAGGTTAAGTGATGTCGCACCTTCAGTTCGATTAGAAACGTGTGAATACATACACTATGGCTATACGTTTCACTGCAACTGCCCACAACACAAAATCTAAAAACTCTCTCTCAAAAAAAAAAAAAAAAAAAAATAGACAAAAAAAAAGAAAAAACGCCAACCGAAAAATGTATATCGTTTAAGAGTATGTATACTGAATGACCAGTGTTATTACGGCTCAGGCGTATGACTTCCTCTCACATTTTGTCATTTGGTGGCGCACTTTCGGCGAGAGTCGGAAATCCGGAAACAGTCAACCGTTTCACGATAGATGGGCGTGGCTACAACACGAGAAATATCCCAAATTTACTTGGATACGAGTAATCATTTTCAGCAAAAAAATCAATAACTACCCTTTTCAGTGGGACACAGATCTAAAATGGGAAAGGTGAGGGTGGGCATTGCACAGGCACTTTAAAGATACACTGATCTTATGTTGTTTAAACTACAGTAAAGTTAATGAGAAATAATAATTCATCGTCCAAATAAAGCATTGCATGTACTAACATGATGAAACTTACTTGATGCCGATATCTCATAAGGAATAATACCATTAGGCCAATATAATGTTACATCAGAAACTGCTTTTCTAGTTTGCACACCTTCCCTTGCAGCTTTCTGAGCTTCAGTTAACTTTATATCTAACTCAACAATGTCGTCCTCCTGAAATAAGTAAAGTATGACACGCAGTTCAAGTTAAGAACATTAAAGCGCGGTGATCGTCGCGCAGCGCGTGTTCAAATTTCATGTAAATAAACAATGTATTTTACACGCGTTGTATACGTCGCTATGAGTTCCATATCGAACAGAACGCGGCGCGACGACTGCTGCTCTTTAATCAATCAAATTGTACATGAAAACACGTTTATTACAAATTCCAAGTTAATTAAGTATTAGAAAAATGTAGTTCATATCTAATTATTGGTCTTATAAATTACAAATAGTTGCCAAGGTTACATGCTTTATAATCTAAGATTGCCTTAGTGAATAATGATTTTTATAGGAAGAGAATAGAATAGAAAACAATAAATATATTATTATACTTGCCATATATATACGACCCACAGACAGTGCCAATATTAAAAGGACATGACGCAGCTCGTGTACATTTCCCATAGTTGCCAAAGAAATCTACAAAACACCAAATCTGTCTCATTAAAAACCGCAATTGGGTATTGATTTCAAACGAGATATTTTTTTACAATAACATTAGAAAATCTTGTTCATAGTTGTGAAAAAAATAATAATAAGATCAATGCAGGGTTAGCACAAAATATTCGGAAAGACAGTACAGTGTTTGTATCAATGCACAGCAGATGTCAGTGTGTTTGTGTACTTCTGAGTGCCTACACTGTAGTTTCTTAACAGTAACCTTGTTATATACACCTTCTCGATCAATCCGCTTGGTGTAGGATGTTCAGACATGGTTTAAATTGATGAAAATTTCTCGTATTGTGCACCTTTTTGATCAATCCGCTTGGTGTAGGATGTTCAGAGATGGTTGAAATTGATAGAAATTTCTCGTATTGTGTTTTTCATTTTCAAAACTTTCCGCCATCTTATCTATATTTCTCTCTATATTTCGAAATCACATGTTCCAATACGATAGAAGTAAGTTACTGCGTACAATACCATGAGATTAAATAACAATTAGCTAACTAGTTTATTATAATTGTAAACATCATCAATTCAGATAAATCTACCCACAGTTACCCACAGAAAGTGTTACTTAGAGATTCAGTTACCCACAGAGTACCCATTATTAATCCATATTATATATGTACCCCATAAACACATTGTAAGCGAAAAACAGTAAGGTGACAATAAAGCGGGGGATTCGTCAACTGCGCATGCGTCAGATGGCCACAGCGTGTCATTGTTTACAAACAAGCATCTAACCACGAGCCTTTGCGTTTTAGCGTGTATTGTGGGCTCATACCACTAATTGAATTTCCATAGACGACAATGTTAACATATGACGAGATTGCTATATGAAAATGACGAAGAAAGTTGAAAATATGGCTCAAAATGGGAAATCAACATGCCAGTAATCAACCATATGAAAAAAACTAACATGTTGGCCAGCTCAAACTCTTGCAAATCTCAGGTAAACAAGACACACCTACTGTATTTGGGATTGCACCAAGAGAAATCACTGGAAAAACACCAAGATTAGAACATCTATTAACACACAGAATAAACCCACAGGTACACAGCCGCTAAGTAGTAAACAAAAGACCACATGTTGGTCTCACCTCTGACCCAGGTGATTACGCCCTCAAACAGGGAGCACCTGAGAAAAATAATATTTAAAAAATTTCATTGGTTCTTGCTAGGCATTTAAATTGATTGGTTAATTAGTGGCATGAGACCTTAAGAGAAATAAGAAGGTTTAATAAAGTTCTTGTTGATCTTATATATGATGGAATATCATTAGACGAGTAATTTCCCATGCAAAAAAAATCCCCAAAATTTAAACCCTGGGAGTTATTTATCAAAATCTACCACTTGGTGGCGCCCTATACCCAGACAATTAGTTGTAGAAAGTGGCAACATACACACTCAGCATAACACCAAAATAGATGGTAGGCAATGAATATAAGCCTGATTATTAGATGCAGTACTGTAAAATATAATGTTCTCATTCACCACAAACAAGTACAGACCAACGTTTGGCATGATTAGTAATTTTAATTAATTTCTAGAAATAATACATAGAATAATGACAATTAAAAGTAGTTTATTACTATAATTTAAAAAAAAAAAAAATCTACTGAATCAAAAGTCTTAATTCATCAGCTCATTATTTCTCCAATTAATTAAAAACAAAAAAACAATTCCACGGTATCTGCATTTAGGCCGGAGACCTGTGACGGGCAACCTTGGATATACCAAAACACAACAGTGGTTTGATTTACCATGGCCACACATAGAATTTGCTCAACATAAAAAGCTTAATCAAATCTTATGTGAAAAAAAGTAGTTCAACGAAACAATTTTATGATTTAAAAAGAAATAAAAATAAAAATATACAAACAAGAAAAGGATCTAGGAGCAGCCATTGGTTATTAGTGGCATGAGACCTGAAGACGTACCTACACTTTGTGCAATTTTTTTTTAATTATGCTAATTTATTCATGACGTA